ATTGTTGTGATAAGAAGGAGAGATTATCTGTCACTGTGGTTGATGGGTGTCATTAGCTGGTCTTTTGTGTGTAGTGGACAAGAACAGAGGATCACTACACACAAAAGACCACCATACCTAACAATATGAGACAGCAGCAAAGTCTCCAAATGCTATACTAACGCTGCCTTGACCAAAGGACGGTGTCTGGATGAAGGATCAAGTCAAGTCCCTCTTTCTTCTGTTTTCGGGCAGGCCTCACATAGAACACAGTGTCCCGTTCTAAGCCCCAGAGATGAAGGAGGATGTCAAGAAGCTGGACGGTGCTCAGAGAAGACCAGCTGGGATGGTAAAAGGTCTGGGAACCAAGTCCTATAAAAGGAAGTGGGGGGGCGGTAGGTATGACTAATCCGGAGAACGTTCATGGAGATGCTATCCATAGCTCTCCGCAGAGACTGGAAGGGCTACCAGGTGGAAGATGGAGTACGTACAATGCCTGTGATTCCAGGTATGGTGTAAGCTGGTTGGAACATTCAAAGTTGGCCTTCTGCTCTCGTCTAATAATAGACTGCTTAAAGGGGGGGCAGACCCAGGAGGAGCCTCGCGGAAGCCATCTGACGCCCTTCCTACAACCTCCATGTTTCTTTCACTTGGTTGCATAAACACGATAGAAGATACTGTATATAGCACAGTGACAGCTGGGTTGCTCACACACACCACAGCTAAGTCACAGAACCTCCTGCTCGGCACGCAGAAGACCCCAGATCCAGTCTTGGGGGGGGGCTTCAAATCCACCTGGAGGAATCTGTCTCCAAGCCTCAAGCGCCTCTGCAAGTAAAGTACGTGTCAAGGCTATGAGCTCCACAAAGCGGCTGTCAATGCTTCTATGTCCAAAATCCAGATCTTCCCCGGGGGGGGGCTACTCTAGAAGAGGGCAACTCTAGGGCAACCCATTCCCTATGTTCTAAACAGGGGAGATCCATCGAGGAACGATTCCCCAGCCCGCCCCTGCCAGTTCTTGCGTGTTTCGCCTTCTCTTCCAAAGATTCGGAGAAACCAGGCTTTCTCACACGGCATCACAGAGGAGGCACAACAGTTGCCGGCAGAGGCATTAGGCACAGGGTTACCTTGGAAAGATACTTGTTATCTTCAAGTATCCTGAACGAAGGCTCCTCATAGCTGCCTTTTGTCCGGGTGGGCGCTCGGTACGACTCTGTGTAGGTGCTGATAGGAGTGTCCGTTTTGTGTGCAAAGATGAACATTTTGTCAACGGCTGGTCTTCCTTGAAGAAACGGCCCGGGGTGGGGGCTACCTCCTGAACGGAATTTCCCCTACGTCCTTAGGCTTCCTGGCAGCGAGAGAGGCTTTTACGTGCCACTCTAAACAAAATAATCCCCTCTGGCAAAAACCCACACCACCCTCACCAATAAGAAAATAAATAGGAGGCAACTTTTCTACTCTGCTAACAAACTACCACCTTGATAATGACCCCCCCCACCCGCCCTGGACCTTACATCCTGACACCAGGTCTGTTTGCATCAGCTGTGATGTCACAGTTGTGTGGGAGTCAGAAGGCAGGGGGGGTCAAAAAAAGAGGAAGGGGGGGTCTGGCACCCAATGCACATGATGGAGTCAAGAGAGGGGGGACGTTAGAACAGGAGAGCCTTTCCCCAGGGTTTTAAACGGGACTCAAAATACCTCTTTTTGGGCCAGTGGCAAAGTGCCTCTGTTGGCTTTGAGAGTCAGGGAACATGGGAGGCAGCCTGAAGAACTGGATTTTCTGAGCTGTGAAATACAGACGGGAGCAAGAGCAGCCTTTTCAGGTTATGACGGAGCATCATCCAGCTAGTCCACCCACAAGCCTCAGGTTTGCACCCAGAAGCCCTTTATAAGCAGGGCCCCAGCCTTGCGGCTGCTCCATTAAATCGAGAACACATGCTCAGCTGCCATATTTACAATGGTGGACTTTGAAGGCTGGGCAGGAAAACCAGGATGGGAGGAAGAATGGAATACAGCATATATAGGGCCAAGGCGACATGTGGGGTGAGTCTCTCTGCAAGACTGGGAGGGGAAACCGCCTGCCCCCTGCGATGACTTCTCCACTGGGCTGAATCCGTGGTTGCATCCACTTTTGAGTCCCAGCTAGGTCAGACTCACAGAGCTTTGAAAACTGGATGATCGTATCATTCAATGTATATTATGATCACAACGGCTAGTAGATTTTAGAGGAGTTTCTGGTCCCGTTTCATTTTTATTTGCTTTTGATGGGTTTTGATGGTTGGATTTGTTTCTGCCGGGCCGGCCCAGCCATTGGGCAAACTGGGGCCGTCGCCTTCAGGGGTGGAGCCCTGGAGAAACCAGCAGAGCCTCCTCCCTTCCCTCTTCTGCTGTTGCTTGCCACCAGCCTCTTCCCTGTGGGTCCCGTGTCCTTGTGCTCCTTAGGAAGGAAGGCTCTCTCACTCGGCCTTGCCTCCTTGCTCCTTGACGCTCGGAGGAAGAGGAGGAAGAGGCGCCAAAAGGCAGGGAGCCCCCTCTTCCCACAGCTGATTCTCCCACAACCTAGCCATTCCTTAGCTGGCTCCCACCGTAATACTGTGGGTCCCGGGGTCTGGTGCATTACAGGGAAGAAGAATGGTCAAAAACAATCACCTTCTGCACAGCACCGGCTCTCTGCCGTTGGACATGCTTCGACCTTAGTCTCAAAGCAAACGTTTCAATATGCCCCCATCCTGCAGGCCCTTCTTTGGTGGCCTGGAGAGGACCACGTCGGAAGATCTCAGGGGGATTCCTCTTAGCCCATCGCTCAGCACTCCGAGCATGAGCCGAGTCCATTCCTTCAGGCATGGAGGAACCGGAAATGGGCAGGAGAAGGCAGGTGGGGTGGGGGGCTTGCATTGGGGGTTGGGCTTTTATTACCCTTGTCTCAAAGAAGGCAAGGTTACTTGGGCGATTCACTTTGGATTCCCCATAAAGAAAGACGGAAGCTGCTCCGTGTAGGATGTTGGGTGACTGTTCTCAACTGTAGACACCTCCCCTGAGGCTGGGGAGGCAGGAGGGAGGACAGGCTCTTTGGGTGACGGTTCAGCAGGCAGTGCCCTGCTGTGAGATAAATTTCAAGGCTGCTTACAGAACCCAGGAGGAGAGGAAGAGCGCTCCAAGCCACAGCCGGCAGCACTGAGGAACAGACGGTGCTCTCCCTCCCCCCCGGGCATTCCTCTTGGACTGCTTAGAGCAGGGTCAAGCCCATGGAGGCTTTAAGGGTCCCGATCCCCTAGTAGTGTGTCTCAAAACCCTCAGCTGGGATCTTTCTGCAGAAGTGCATCTATCCAGTTGCATAAATTCCAGGTGGAAGGACTTTGACGACGGTGCTGCTACCCACATGGAAGTGTCTAGAGAAGTGTAAGAGGACAGGTCTCTGCCGGAGCTTTTACAGCCTTGCACGTTGCCTTTAGTAGGAGGGAGGGACCCTTTTGGGCTAAGGGGACCATCAATCTATCCAGCAGTAGTAACCAGTCATTCCTTCTCTGCTTCTGAATTCAGCCTCTCTGTTAAGAGCTTCCCCTCCTCTCCTTTGTCTCTTGGGGTCAGTCTGTTGCAAGCATTATTCTGTTGAAGCCCTTTGCTCAAAGCAGCCATGTGTTTTAGCTTGCTGTTTCTCTGTCCACTGCTAGTTAATGAATCCTTTTATCCTTTCTCCTAATAAAGTCTCAGGGTTTCCTTCTTTCTTTGTTTGCTTATTTATATCCCAACTAGTAGGCAAGGTAGTTATTGAGACGGTAAGTGCCAGCGGATGAGACAAAGGGATGG